TTTCTTTAAAAAGACAATGAGACTTCTCTCTGTAACCAAACAAACATACACACTAATGAAACGAAACTTCTCCTATAAGTAAGGTAAAGTCACAGAATTCTAGTGGGCAAAGTCCACTTTTAGTGTCGGTCAAAATTTCTGGAAAACCCCCGAAATCTGGATTAGCCCGCTTGTCCTTAAAAGCGACCATCTAGACTTAGATCTAGATTATTATTTCTTGTGGCCAGTCAAACACAAGGAGCTGATACATGTATTGAAAGTAAACATTTACAATAATATGAAAAAAAGTATTAGGTGCATTTTTGATCTTACCAAACTGGACTTTTCTAGTCGTTCCCTTATTGTGGAAATAAAATTTAAATTGTTAAAGTGGCCAAAATGTTGATCTTGAGTTCTATATTGCATCTCCAGTCTGTAGTCATGTATCCCTGCCTTAGTAAACTCAGCATGCCTCAGTAATCCCCCCCCCCCCGGTCCTCCCCCTCCTCTCTCGGTTGCATAAATCTAGAATCTAGACCTTCTAATTGTTTTGCATCTCAAGATTTATGGCTGAATTCCAGTACTAGAGTGTAAATATAGTAGGCCGATGACTTTCAGCTGATGTTAATGCACCGATCATTCCTTTCATCGAAAGGGGGCCCAGCTAGCAATAGAATAATTATGTCTAACTCTGACGTTTTCCACATGTTTGAATCTCTCCCATGTACGTTCACTGAAATCTGTTTGTCCGTCCTTTTAGCATGATGATGATAATATGGCCGTGTGCAGTTGCGAGCTCCGACAAACTCTTACTAAAACACGACTGATCCTAGATTTGTTGCGGTGAAACCTATTGGAACTTAAATAACCAAAATTGTGTAGATAATGTCGTAAAACACCTAATCAATCAATCAATCACTGAAATCTGCGGCAGCGATTGCCGATTAGGTGCTTCCTTGTCACAAGCAGAAGTCTCGATTCTGATTCCTGACAGTGAAGAATGTTTATCCAGTACCTCGAACTTTCTGCTGGGATGTTGTATCCCAAATTGAGTCGATAGTGCCGTAAAACATCTACTCAATCAATCAATCATGTTGTATCCCTCTCAGCCCAGTCTGGCCCGGGTATAAATTGTATCGACAGGGTGTTTTAAAACATCTGTATCTAAAAATAAAGAAAATGTAGACTACTTTCAGCACTAGCTATCTAATTGCAGTTTTTTAAATCTTGCTGATCGGGGAGTGACAGGCTATTTCTTGCCTGCAGTTGCTGGGAGAAAAATGCTGAGCTCGATGAGACGTCAAGCTTGTGTGTGTTTCTGAGGGACACAGTTTCCGGGTCGAAATCTATCACCTGATTTTTTAAAAGGCACATCTTCAAATCATGATCCTTGCCATGTTTTTGTGGTTAAACAGTAGGCCTATTTATAGTTCAACTATTCTATTAGGCCTATTTATAGTTCAACTATTCAATTAGGCCTATATATAGTTCAACTAGTCAGTTAGGCCTATTTATAGTTCAACTAGTCAATTAGGCCTATTTATAGTTCAACTATTCAGTTAAGATTGACTTACGGTACAGCGAGAAACTAAGAGTGGGAAACATAAATTTGACCCCCCCCCCCCTTTTTCTGCCAATCCCCTCCCATCAGGATTCCAACACATACGCACAAATTGTTAAGCTGTTAAAAAAAGTTCGATTCAACCAAGCTTTCTCAAAGAGCTAATTAAACGGTGCATCTTTGAACAGGAACTAGAACCAAAGCCTACAAACATCTTTGTTCACATAAAAAACTACCATTTATTTTGCACGTGCATACGTATACTTACTAAGCTCCCAGTGACTGGTGGCCTTATGGGTAGGCTACCGTACTCGTAATCGTGAGATTGCGGCCTCGGGGTTCGAGCCTCAGCTCGGTCCGACGTTGTGTCCTTGGGAAAGGCACTTTACACGAACTTCCCACTTGGTTCGGTCCTATCGGAGACTGACGTTAAACTAGGTCCCGCCCCTGGAATAACCTAATAGTGTTGATAGGGGCGTTAAAGTCATACCCAAGTGACTGATGAACATGTGCATGCTTAAAGCTGGTAGATAAAGGGGAAAGTCCGTTACATACTGTCATATAAGTGAAAGGGGTGATGTATAGGTGAGGATAGAGAGAGAAAAAAAAAGAGAGAGAGAGAGAGAGAGAGAGAGAGAGAGAGAGAGAAGAGAGAGAGAAGAGAGAGAGAAGAGAGAAGAGAGAGAGAGACAGAGACAGAGAGAGAGAGAGAAACAGAAAGAAACAGAGAGAGAGAGAGAGACAGAGAGAGAGACAGAGAGAGACAGAGAGAGAGAGAGACAGAGAGAGAGAGAGAGACAGAGAGAGACAGAGAGAGTGAGAGACAGAGAGTGAGAGACAGAGAGTGAGAGACAGAGAGTTGGAGACAGAGAGTTGGAGACAGAGAGTGAGAGACAGAGATTGAGAGTGAGAGCGAGAGCAGCGAGAGCGAGAGAGGGAGGGGGGGATGTAATACATATAAGTTTTAAGAATGAATCCATACACATTCATCCAAACAAAAAAAGTCTGTAACATCCTTCTGCTTTAGAACTACCAGATTTGTGTTGATGGGGGGGCTAAAAACATTTACAATTACGTTTATCGTATAAAAGACCTACCCGTTTGTTCAACATATTGTCATTCTCATTTTGCCATTTTGTAAAAGGAGCTGATTAGTTATGATCTGTTCTTAATTGTTCTTAAATCTTTTTTTCAGTTCGGAAGATGTCAGGAATTGACCCTGGTTAGCCAGCGGAGGAGACTCTGCAAAAGGAAGAGAATACAGACTCAGCCCTACTGCAGGCAGCACAGTAAGACTCTTTGATATTCCCATGTTTTTTTTTTAAAGCTGAATATTTCAATTGTTTGATACATTTCTTAACATCTCTCTCTCTCTCTCTCTCTCTCTCTCTCTCTCTCTCTCTCTCTCTCTCTCTCTCTCTCTCTCTCTCTCTCTCTCTCTCTCTCTCTCTCTCTCTCTCTCTCTCTCTCTCTCTCTCTCTCTGTGTTTAGGCGTGGGGGAAGAGAGGTGTGTGTGAGATAGGGGCGGTGGTGGATTGGGGAAGGGGCAGGGATAGTTTTTTCTTGAAACCAAAATGATATATTTTGCCTCCAGAGAACTGACATTTTGTGGCATCCTAGGGCGATTTACTTCTCACGCTATCTTTCCCTTTTTCTAAGCCACCATTTTTCTTTTGGCTGCAGTCATCAAAACAAAACTGAAACATTGCGTAAACAAACACATGCACACGCTCACGCGCCCGCACACACACAAACACACACACGAACACACACACACACACACACGCACGCACGCACACACACACACACACACACACATGCACCCACGCACCCACACACACACACGCACACGCACACGTACACGTACACGCACACGCACACGCACACACACACACGCATACACACACACTCACACACATACACACACATACACACACATACACACACATACACACACACGCACACACACACACATACAATAAATGCACACTCACACACATGCACACACACACTGTTAAGTACAAATAACACAGGCTTTAAACACTAAAAAGCCCGGCACACACACGCACGCATACGCACACGCACACAGGCACACGCACACAGGTACACGCACACAGGCACACGCACACAGGCACACGCACACACACACAGGCCATGTGGGCATCCGAGGAAACGAGCAAGTGGACCTCCTTGCGAAAGAATCCTTGTCCCTTCTGTTGGGATCAACGACAAACACTCTCCCACTGACTGACTTTAAAAATAAAGTTAAAAAAACTGCATCTCCAGTCTGTGGGAGACACAATGGAAGAAACAGATAAACAAAACTTCACAACATTATGCTCACACTGGGTCCACGAAAACCTTGGGCCCTCTCCAGAAGAGACGAAGTCATTTTTACTCGATTACGCATCGGACACACGTCCCTGACACATAAATACCTCCTTCAGGGAGAAGAGAAACCGTTCTGGGTCGGATGCGACTCAGATTTCACCACTAGACACATCTTTACAGAATGTCCAGACTTTGTAGAGAAACGAAAAAAGCATTTAAAATGCAAAAAAAAATTGCAATACCTGTTCTCTGTCGTTGATCCCAACAGAATTCTCGATTTTATAAAGACCGTTGGCCTTTACGGTACACTGTAAAAAAACGTTGTTTAAAATTTTGTTTGAATGTTCTTTTAAAACACTGGGATTTTTTACCTTGAATTTTTAACCGTTTAATCTGAGTCATTGATTTAAACCTAGCCGCCCTTTGACCTGTTGTGAATACAACCAACTTGTGTTTGGCGTGCTCATGTGGCCTTATGCAGTTGCAAGGGCCTTAAAACTCTTACTAAAAATATCCTCCCCCCCCAAAAAAAAAAAAAAATCAACAACAAAACAACTAAACAACTTAAAAACTAAAAGAAAAATTAAATCCATGCTTTGAACTATTTTGAATGCTACCAACTTGTTTTGCGCGCTCATATAACTTTGTTGTTGGGAGCGCCGTAAAACGCTTACTAATCAAGATCAGATCAGCTCGCGTCTTTACTTTCTTTTAATGTTTCGAGGCGTTGTTCGTTCACTTGAGTCCACGAAACCCCGAAAAAACAAAATTTTTAATGTTGGTTCACTGAAGACTGCCAAAAAGCTGTTGCGGCCAAAAAATCAGCTCTCAGGAAGTTCGTCAACTCTAAAACAAACGAAGACCTCATTAATTTCAAAATT